CCCTTTGCCGTCTTGCAAAAAAAAAAAAAAAAAAAAAAAATCCAACCAAACAGAACATTCCAGAGAATGAGGAAAGCAGTGGGCAGAGCAAAGAGAGAGAGAGAGAAAAAAGGAGAAAAGACAAGAGACGTGTCAGTAAGGCATTGATTAGAAGGAGGACAGGACTGGAGGAAGGGAGGAGACACAGGCAGTTTTTTTTTTTTTTAAAGGAGTCTGCTCCTGCACAAAGTACATTGCATACATTCAACCAAACAAACCCAGATGAGAATCATTTAGCATTTTAAAAATTTAGAATTCAAGTACAGGATTACTGCATATATTTACCGTGTAAATGTATGCAGTAATCCCCGGCCGTACGGGGTTAGCTGCTGCAATGACTTAGCATCAATTAGGCTGTTGTCATGTTAACAGCAGACGCATATGGTAATTGCTGCAATTATTGACTTGTTTATTCATCATTTTCACCTTTGTTATTTTAATCTTATGGCTTGTTAGGTAAAAATGAAGCCCGAGCTGAACAATTATTCATACTTAATTCACACCTCAGGCCTATTTAAGTTGTGCAATTATCGAAGGTTTATTCGAATAATAATCCTCTCTCTTCGTGCAGATTGAATTAAGACTTGTGTTATGGCTACCTGCAGATTTCACATTACACTATAACTCGTCCCCCTATATTCCTTTTATTGTACTTAATATAACAAGATTCTTTTACATGGGTTGTTTTGGGCACAAACACAGGTCAAACTTCAGATTTATCCAAAAAAACAAACCTTTTTCTTTTTTTATGTCTGACTATCTACTCTAAGTAAATACAATTCAATTTCCAGATTTTAAATGATTATTCAAAACACAGATTTATTAAAAAAATTCAATTTCCAGATCTTTAATGATTATTCAAAACACAGATTTATTATTATTAAATGTGGTAAAAAATAAATAAAAAATCTATTAATAATAGCTAGTTTATTTAACTGGACTGCCTTAACTGGACTAGACTTGAATAGCATTCAGGTCAGTCCAATAGCCCGCCTTACACTTCAGTCTCTAACTGTTATGGAAGCCACTATTATTTATTTTTATTGCTGAATTTGGGATTATAAAGCAGCACATAAAACAATAACTATAAGAACATACTGTATAGTTTACTAGACAAGATATTGTCAGAACGGCTGTTAGTCATACAGCGTGAGTTTTTCTACTAAAGCCAGGGAGTAGTGTTAAAGCCTTCATGCATAGCCTTGTATAACGAAGAGTAACGTATCGCTGCCTGTACCTGTGATTTCAAACCAAACGGGGATGTCTGAGGATTCGGTGGCCACCACGCCCACCATGTGGGCCACAGGGTCACTTTCCATTACGGAGAAAGTGAAGGGTGACTCCTCAAACTGCAGCGGAGCTGCGTCAGCCGCTACAACTGGTTTGGGAATCCACTCGATATGCAAACGGCAAGTAGAGGATTTTTGAGGTCGCCCGTTGTCGACTGCTTTGATCTGAGAGAAAAGCAGGGGAACAAGATGCTGCGTTACACTGATTTCATGCGGCCGACAAGCAGATCACATGTCAGAGTCTTCAAAAAAAAAAGTAAATACAACAAATATGACAGTGGGATCATATTAAAGAAACATTGCAGTGGGAGCATAAACCACTGGGTTTTTTTTTTTGACAAGTACTTTATATTATCGCTGATCCATGGACACAACAAAAAAAAAAAAAAACGTTGTATTCAATGACACAGAGAATGTTTTGTGCAAAGTTCTTTTGTGATTTTTCCTTTTTCCCGAAGGCTGAGTGACTGTCAAATGGTGAGCACTGTCTTCTTGCAGAAATAGTTCGAAAAAGGATAATAGCTTTTCGGGCTTTCAATGTTCTGAATAATAATAATAGCATGAGTTGTCTCATAGGTCAAGTCTGTAGAAGGATTACAGAATAATGTTTTGTATAATCTGAGTTATATTTAAATTTAAAGTTAGTGGTTCTTGGTTTCTTTGTTTCATATTAAGTCTGAACAAAGTAACTCGTTTTGCGCGTTTTATGTGCGTACATTTGCATAAACAACTCAAACGTGACAGTAAATGTACAGTCTTTAGACGACAAGAAGAAAATAAGGGAGTGAAAAGGGAGTGCAGATTGGATCATACTCACGGTTAGAATGTCGTATTCACCAGCGGAAGAGAACTTTTTGGAAGACACCAGACCTGTCTTGGGCTCTATGAAGAATTTTCCATGTTCATCCCCCTCCTCAATGCTGTAAGAGATTTCAGCATTAGGTCCGTCATCACGATCCGACGCAATGACCCGATAAACCGGATCTCTTTTATTGGCCCGCTCTTTTTCTGGTTTGTCCCGCTCTGGAAGTTGGATCTTGTAGATTTTCTCCAGAAACAACGGCCTGTTGTCGTTTTCATCCAGAACTTTGACGATGACACGGACGGTGGTGGATTTGGCCGGAACACCATGGTCAGTGATGGTGACCTGAACAACGAATGGAAAAAAAAAAAAAAAAAAGCAGCTATTATCAAGAGTTTAGTGCAAATAACAAATGTTCACGTCAAGATCAAATTACAGACAAACAGTTATCGGTAAGAGAGATGTAAAGCAGAACGTATGGAATGGAACCTAGCAGCAATTTCCTGAAGATCAAGGCACTGCATTAGTAATTCATCATCTAAAAGTAAAATTAATCCAAAAAAAAAAAAAAAAAAAGATGAAAGTGAAGCATTTTCGTTGCCCTTGTTCTCAGCAGGTTTGCTGTTGCAGTACATTTTAAAGGCAGTCAAAGGGAAATATCCGATATCTAAACATAATGTAAAGTCGATTGTAAAGTAGCTAAAGAAGTTTGTGATCAGTTGACACGTTGTCATTCAGACACGCTGCACAAAAAAAGCTTTTACTTCACCAAGACTCAAGCTTAAAATACATTCTCAGTCCCGAGATCTCCCAAGATCTGTTGAGCCTTAACCTTAGGTCGGACCCCTCCTGTGTCAGAAGCAGCTGAACCAAGCAGAGGGCATTAAGCGCGTCTACGTCTGACAAGACAACAGACACAAATGCCAAATGGGTTTCGGGGGGGGTGTACACTGATGAATATTGTTGAGGTCAATGGCTCACTGCCATTTAGAAGGAAGTGATAAACCACAGAAGAATATCAAATTACATAGCGTGTCACCGATCTGCATCATTCACATTCATTCATGTTACCGACAGCATATTTACACTATCAAATATCTTGATTGGAATTCCAATGCATTTACTGTGCCGACACCGTTTTAAATAGTCCCTAAAGTGTGCTGAAATGTATGTTCCTAGCCTCAGCGCTGCCAGAGAAGTGCAACCATCTTGCAGTGAAAGACTTCACTAAAGCAGAAAAACACTGCAGACGGACAAATGTCAGTGATTTAAACCACCAAAAAACAACCAAAAAAAAAAAAAAAACAGACAGATGCCAGGGCTGAGTGCAATCCATTTTGTTCCACAGCCTCAATTATTAAGTTAATGCATTTACTGTTCATACCCGTGTGAGTCTCATGAGCAGAATTAATGAAATGGGTTGCAAAGAAACCTCAAATGTAAATGAGGTGATCTCAGGGATACTGCACAGCAGAGAGTCCAGCATGTGCTTTGTGATAAATAATTTCACAGGAGCTTTTGGTTGGGAATATTAGTTATAACATGAAAACACTTTAAAGACGTTTCATTCCAGCTCGTGTGTTTGAATGCATTTAGCTTCACACACTCAATAGTCACATGCCTTTCTTCAAAAAAAAAAAAAAAGACTTTCATCATAAGACTTTTAAGTAAAGTGCACAAAAGACACCCATTTTTGCAACAGAGAGATTTGGTCTCTTTGCATCAGCGGCGAAACTACAAAAGTGAGTCAGTCCATTGTGTCCTGCTTCACCGTTGGACAGGCTTTATCCAACTGTGCCAAGTTTCAAGGCTGTTCTGCGGGTAATTAAATCAAGGATTAGTTCAGAAATGATTAGTTATAAGAAACAACAGTTCTTTGTTTTTTTTTTTGTTTTTTTTTTTTTTAGAAATGCTGAACTGTGAGGGCGGTACTTCACCTGACCTCTGTTCTTCTAGAACATAATACACACCAGGTAGCGTGCAAATAAAGGTTTTATAGATGAATTGTCAGGCAAGAGTTGATGGTCATCCTCCTTTTTATGACATTTCAGAAAACGCCAACAAATCAGAAGACACTCTCTCTCCACGGTCAGGAGGAAGGATTGCATTCATAGCTCTCTGTCAGGAGGAAGGATTGCATTCATAGCTTAACAAAAAACCACCTCCTCCACAATGTTTGTTTTTGTGTTTTCTATTCCTTTGACTGGATTTCAGGCCACATTCAAGAGGCATTTGGAGTGTTATAACGTATGTAATCGGATGCAGCCCACGTGAGATCGAATCGCTCAGGATGGATGTTAATTCCCGCTTTTGAACAGCAGACAAACACCATAATCTAGATTAGTTGCCAGTTCAGGATGTACCTTGAGTCGTGCCAGCTGCATGAGGCAATAGACCCCCAGACAACAGAGGAGTGAAAAACCCATTCACCTCTGGTTCAACACTATAGTGTGTTCCTTCTAGTCCCAGGCTGGGACTGACAACATGTCCTGGCATGTCCCACATTTTGCCGTTTACCCCCACCCCCGTTTTCTTCCCGAGATGGAAGCTTCTCATGCTGCCGCTAGAGCCTACACAGACCACCAGGAAGAGATTAGCCTTTTTTTTTCAAATTCTCTCACTGCCCTCGCTCTCCCGGCCTATCTCTGTCTCTCTCTCTCCTTTCTGTTTCACACACAGGCACACGACAAATACCAACCCCCATCTGTCTCGTCATAAATGCCCCACCCCCCCCCTGTGATCCCTCCACCTCCTCCTGGCATTTGGTGCAAACAATGCTGACACAGCCCCCCCCCCCCCCCCCCCCCCCCCCACATGTTCTGTTTCTCTCCCCGCAACAAGTTGTGAACATGAAATCTTTACAGATGCAAAATGAAATTAAAAAAAAAAAAGTTTCTCTGAACATAGACCATACACAAAGGCCTCTGCATACGTGCAGATATTCTTCCAATTTAGGATGAACTATCAGCTGCATTGCTATTAGACTAAAGTGCGGAGGTATGAGGAAGACTGAGCTCCAGGGTTAAGAGGGTCTGCGCTAATATCTAGCTTGATATCCTACAATCTACACCACACACAATCTAATATACGTAGCTACAAAAAAAAAGAAAGAATTTTTTTTCCCAAACCAATACAAGTAAAAATATCTTCATTTGTGTACTGGCGCATACCGAGTACCACCGAGTACCACTGCCAATAATTCTTTAGGTTGGGTTAGGTGTGAAATGAAATGGAATGCAATGTTATGTAGGTGTCGGTGTGTAACAGGGTGATATGCAGTGTCACTGTCTGGTCAACCCAAGCCACAGTGAGGACACCAAGCAAGAAATAGAAATGGCAAAATATCAGAAAAAAAAAGTATTACAACTGATAATGGTATTGGTGCATCCCTATTCAATACATATTAATGACAGCTGCAATATTATTCAGTTACATATGATTAAAGGAGAATAGGGAAATTGAGAGAGAGAGAGTTTGTGGGTTTTTAAAGTAGCTCTAGAGAATGAAAAAAATATATATATATATTTTTTACTTCTCTTTCTACAGAGACAGACGATGAGATTTTAACCAGGTTCAAGAATTCCACAGCTTTCAACCACCTTCTCTTTCTACAGAGACGATGAGATTTTAACCATGTTCAAGAATTCCACAGCTTTCAACCACATGTTCAGAATGGCTATTCTAAATCTATGGGACCTTTATTTGACCTTGAACTTTTTTTTTTCAAAAATATCTTTTATTTTTCCAAAATATAATTTTTTCCAAATTCAGTTCAACAGCCAAATTAACGTAGGCAACACTGCATTTAACTCACACTCACATAAGTGTGGCGTGATGTCTGCTAAACAACACTTCTCCGGCACCAGAGATAGCAGCGTTAACAGTCACGGGATGATCACTGAGTTGTGTAACGTCTAATAATTAAAAGGTGTCTGATCGGCTCTGTGTAAGCACCGTGAAACAATTAAAAGATCTTTTATCAAGCCGAAGTTCAGCCGTGAGATAATTGGACTGAAACGTCAGGAGAAAACAGAACGGAGCTCAATTAAAACCACGAGTTTAGACATTGACCAGCGCCTCTGACGGCAGCTTCCTGTTCCAGCTTGCTCTGTCTGCATGACGGAACAGTGGGACAGAACAAAGGAACACTCATAAGGAGCTCCCACCCAGCTCCTTGAGCACGGTCAGAATGAGACACTTTCTTCATATAAAACAAAGCCGTTTTTGTTGGCACCATTAAGCTCTTCTTTAAGGATGAGGTTCAGAAAATGTGAAATCAAAGGTCAAAGACACTCGTCCTCGAAGCTGCTGCTGTAATGTTAGCGATTTGAGTTTGTCCCGTAAATAAAGGCTGGCATTAAAGTGCCCACAATTTTTCCCGCAGATCAAAAATATATTAAAACGCAATCTTACCTCAAGGATGTGCTCATCTTGCTGTTCTCTGTCAAGTTTCCTTGAAGTGGTGGTAATCAGACCTGTGAGAGACAAAGATAAAAAGAAAAATAAATACACTTTCCAAAAACACTCATGAGTGTTTTTCTAACGAACTGTTTAGTGCAATACTACATTGATTGTTAGAGTTGAGCCTCTCAGTGCAGGATATCCAGTACAGGATGAGGGTAACCATGGTAATGCAGAGCAGAACAAAGTCTATCATCCATGCGACATAACTGTGACCAGGCTGTTCAAGTCATTCAACTGCTTCCAGCAAATTTATATTACTAAGCAGTTAGCGCAGACGAGCCTCGCGAAGGTAATATATTTTGGGTCTATCGTTCAGGGAACCTCAATAAACTATAGTCGCAGCGGAAAAGAAACATTGAACATTTGGTCATTTTCTTGTTAATACCAACCTGGATGCTTTATCACACTGTTTTGTAAATTCTGATAAAACACACACAAGTACTAAACTTGTGCAGCGCCGTCGCCGCAGGTCAAATCTGTTTTGTTTTTTTTTTTCCTTCTGTTTAACATCTAGACACAACAGACCAGTCTACAACCGTGAAATATCACAATGGTCGACAAACAGTACCCATATTGGAGCACAGCTCGCATGATCTGACAAAATAGACAGACAGTGACAGCCTGCGGTTCCGAGTACCATTTAGAAACACAGAAAAGAAAAAAAACAGAGACAGACTGTGCTTTAAAGCTTAGGTCCTTTCAAGCTCCGTTCATTTATAGCAGGAGGATCAATGTCGTGTGAAATCCATCACGCATTGTTCTTTGATAGATCTGGCTTTGAAAAAGCTCATAAATAAAACAAACAAGCTTGAGACTGTGGCTAATTTCAATAAAATGCCCAAACACAGTAGCAGAGGAGGAGACGATGCACAGCTACATCATAGGCTGAGTTCAGTTCTCACTCCCAGTTTAATTGCAACTTGCAGACACACTCGAGTCCACGCATGCCAGCCGTAACCACACCAGAGCAGACTGCCTGCCACACTGTGGCCTGATTAGTAAAAAAGCAAAGGATTTCCGAAACCGTAAACTAATCTATGTGCCAACCGAAGGCACATATGCCGACAACTACGATGGCAGGCCACAACTTATAGAATGTAAAATAGTGTTTCCCCAGAGCTGCAATTGTGGCACATAAGTGAAGTGGTTTTCCTATTCCCATTTTTGTAAACATCTTCCTCTGAAGCTTTTTTTTAATCTTCAGAGCGAAGGGATAAAAAAAAAGTCTGCTCCCATATGAAGCAATCTTGTTCTTGAAAAAAATCTAAGTCTGCGCCAACAACGCCAAAACTAATCTACTAACTAATCTGGCTAAATGTCCAATGCTAATTTTTTTCCATTTGCAATTAAAATATTCTGCATTTGTTATTGTGAGTAAAAACAGTAATTGTAGTAAATCTCTACCACCTGCAGGAACAAGCACCAGCAAAACGGAATCTGCTGTGTCACATCGTAACAGAGCAGAATGACTAATTATTTATGGACTTCAGCAGGGCTGGAACCTGATGGATGTTAATGCCCATGCTCCCGTAGTGTACTACTCCAACCACTCACCAGGCATGCATTATAGAGCGGAATACAGATGACAACATTAACCATACAGGGTATGGATTTCTGATCTGCAAATAGCAGCCTAATCAAAGTTTAACAAGGTACCATTACACAAACACCGTTTGGAATGTCAACAGCATAGTCCAAAGGATGGACTGTACAGCGTACAGCACGAGCAAAATAGAGTCAGTCATCACAGAGGTTACAGTTTTGGCTGATCTGACTGACTTAAGTCATGGAATCTGACTGTCGAAGTTGAAGCTATCAACAAACACGAGCGGGACATCTTACGGGTATTTTAAGCTGGACATACCCAGATCAAAACGTGTTTTACCTTCAATGTGTTCAAATGACAACCTGTGTATTGACTAAATTAATTATAATTATGAATTCATATGTGAATTAACGCCATCCTACATTCTCTCTGATGTGCTTTCAGCCTGCTTCCAGTTCAATGATTAACTCTGTAACTCGCAAACTGACATGACTGGAGTATAGAATGGTATGTATTGTATGGCTCTGAGATATGGTCTAAAAAAAAAATCACATCTCAATATATTTTTCAAGCTGAAAGGCGATACTCGATATATAGTGATATTTCTGTGTCATAATTGAGTTTTCCCCTAAAGCATTACAGCATATCGGATTTTGTTTTTCTTCAGAGAAAAAAAAAAAACGAAAAGTTGGAAGTTTAGGTCACAAATGCTTATAAACAGAGGTCACTCGAAACGAATTGAACAAAAACGGTCTAATAGAGGAAACGAAACCGCTCCTTGGATAAAATAAAACAAATCTCTTTCCTGCACTACGAAAATACACAGACGCTACACACACTGGTTCAGCGCCTCAGCAGTCTGATTCTCAAATTTCCAATGGTACCATTGTGTGTGTGTTTGAGTCGAGTAATACCAGCAATATCTCATTTGAGAGTCGAGTAATACCAGCAATATCTCATTTAGAAATCTAGAGATATACATTAAAACATCGAGATATAGCCCAGCACTACTGGGTATTCTCTAAACGGACAGTTGGAGCTGCACGAAACCATCGACTTAAATCAACAAACAGTTCTTTCAAAACCCCAAAACCAACTTTGCGCATGCTTGTTAATAGTTGATTTCAATCTTAATTCTTACTTATAATCAGTTTAAATTACACATTGTCCCGAGGAGATAAAAACACAGTATGAACATATTTGGAGACAAACGCTCACACACAAAGAGGCAAAAAACTCCGCAGCCATCCTTAGGCGTGGGCTGAGCTGGGCCGACAGTAATTATAGCCGTGCTGTTTTGAGAGGAGGAAGAAAAACAACAGCAAAGCAGCAGTGGCACTCTCAAACATGTCCTTGAGCGCAACAACCGCTGCTCCAAAATGGAGCCCTGGAGGGAGTTAAGAAGTCCAGGACATTGTTGGGCTTATTCATACCCACACATTGCTGCTGTGATTAGCAGTCTTAAGAGAGGCGCACAAATCTACGCGACACACATTTAGCCGTGAGTCCAGACAACCGGGAATGTGATCCACATGTCCACTGTGGTCAAAGCTTGCCATGCAATTTAGGTAAGTATTTGAGGTATTACAGCTGGCTCTGAAAATTTATTATTTAAACACTTGGCATTTCCCCTTGGGGTAAAGGAGGGTGGAAAACACAGACTGTGAGCGTTCCTAATTCGAATGGCTGTGTTCGAACCGAAACAACTTTCAAAGTGCCAAGTGGAAAGTGTGAAACACCAAAAGCACCAGTAGACTGTGGGAGTTTAAGAAAGGATTGCTTTGTCAGTGTAGCAACCACTTGGCCTTTCCTTCTACACAACGGAGCCATTAGAATAGTGCTGAACAAGAGGAAACTGACCAGGGCTACGTGATTGAGAGTCATAATCATTTTCATGATTTAGGACAACTGACAAGGTAAAAAAAAAAAAAAAAAAAAAAATCAATGGACAGAGTTACTGTACATCTCAGAATATCAAAGTGCGTACATATCCAGACCTGATCCAAACTAAAGTGACAATTTTCAAAAAAAAGAATATCAGAGAGAAATAAAACTCAAACTGCAACGTAGAAGCTAACAAAGTCAGTTTACATTTTATTTTAATTTCTTAAACTTATTATAATATATTTTTATTTGTCTAAGCTGAACAACATTAAATTATTACATTTACTAATTTCGCACATTTCATTTTTTTTCTTTCTATTTTGCTCTAACTTTGTAGACGTGAATGTAACGTGACCATTTTAAAAGCCACAGGTCAGAGTTCAGATAGAACTTGAATATAAACGGATTATGAATCATCACAGTACATATAAATCTTCTTTTTGTGTTCCAACAAGTTTGACCGTAATTCGAAGCTTGAAATTGAAATCATTTCACAAAGGAAAAAATTGTGGACAAATAAATATCCTTAGAGACCTAACCAAGCAACGTGGGACAAATGCAACAACCAGGTTGTACAAAGCAAATGTTTATCCATACATAGTCAAAACTGAGAAAGATAAAATCAAGGTGGGGGGGGGGGACGGGGGGACTTGAATGTTATTTACTTTGGGATTGAAATATCTCAGCACTTCACAGCTGCCGGGCTTATTTGTAATCTGGAAGACAACAACGTCATGGAAGAGCTTGGAGCTACGGGGGATTCTGGTTCCCGGGAGGTTGTGAAAGTGAATGTTGTGCAGTTTGTGTGTGTAAATGGACGAGCTGTGAGGAAGCCTTGGAGCAGCTGAGCGCACAATGGTTACCAGTGCTGGTTTTGACCTTTGAAAAACACGTAATGGGTGAATATTTGAGTTCTTATCCCTGCTCATATAGCAGAGAAATCTATAACTCAAAATGTACTAAATGGAAAAAACTCACAAATGAACGAATGTGCATGGGTATCTGTTATGTCTAAGAGCTAACAATAGGTACCTACACACACGTGGACATAAATCAGTTGTGCTAAACATATTTCTTTGCTTGACCAAAAAAAAAAAAAAATCTTTACTTAAAAAGTAGATACAGCAATGATGCGAGATTACCAGCAAAAAGAATTGTAATTTATTATTGATAAAAACCCTCTGCACTGTGTAATGTGTAATAATGAGCCACTAATAAATGTGATTTCCTCATAGAAACTGGAGTAAAAAAAAAAAGAATCTCAGCAAAAGCAAGTCTCTACGTGATGTATTAGTCATAATTTCTGAGGCCGACGTGCAATTTTTCATTTTCACATTTTCTCTACAGGAAAGCTTTTGCCAGCTGTAACATTTGTTCAACACTTAAATCACAGGAAACATTAAGCGGCTGTTGAAGGTGACCATTTCCTATCGCCCTTCCCCTGACAGTGGCTGATGCTTTTAGGAAACAATAATCGCACAACTGTGTGTACCCGTGTGTGTGTGTGTACACACTTGCACGTCTATTTGTCCCTCCGACAACTAAAACGTGATTTAAATTCACAAATGAACAAAATGCCTGCAGAAGATATCCAACTTTATATATCCAATATCACTTAAAATTGTTGGTGAGCATTTTTTTTCCTAAATTTTATGATGGTCTTAGATGAAAAAGCGATGGGCAGCAGAACCCTGGCATATTTGTCTTTGCTTGGCAGGAATGAAAACAAAAATTATAGGGCTAACACAATCGGGTACAGACAGTCAATTCGTATTAAAGACATGCTCTTGTCAGGTATGACTTATCACTGTCTGGTGATGAATACACACCGGCGCCTTCGTAATAGGTCTGAGTTTTCAACAGGCTGAGGCTACGTGAGAAAGATGAGCTCATGTTTGGGCAAAAAACACCAGCCTATTAAGAACAGCTCCGTGCAGCGACGATGATACACGCAGATATAAGTGACAGTTGGAGCGAACGACTGGAGTAACATATTCGTTCCAGCTCCGTTTTGCTTGGTTTGTACCTTTCTTCTTACACGCCATTGCTCTCTATGAGGTCCACTTAGTAGAAATCACAGAGAAGAGGGGAAACCCTTCATCGTTTTTTTTTTTTTTTTTTTCAGAAAAGCTGGACAAAATGGTGTCAACAGTTTTCTGTTGACTCATGTGTCCGGTTCTTCTTAAATATAAGAGGAAATAAACTGGCAATGTTCACACACAGACACACACTTTCTTTCTTTTTTCCTTCCACCACTCTACTTAGCAGCCAATGGTCATTTCACACCATATACTCAGTTGCTTATCTGTCTATGCCCTGATGCGCTATGAGCTGTTAACTACAGGCTTATCAGTGTTACACTGACAATGTCAGCTTCTCCTTAGCTGCCAAAAAAGGGTCCTGTAGGAGCCTGGAAAATTTTTTAACAGCAGGAGAGAGCAGGCTTGTGTCATGTCACTCATCCCACACAACTCTGTTTTCTTTTTTTTAAGCCATTCAAAAGTAATAGCTATATTGAGCCATTCTGCACCAAGGTATCAAATCCTCGAATCGTCTGCTAGATGTCTGATGCAGATGGGAGAGCTGGGTTTTGGACTTTAATCAGGAACGACGTTCAAAGAGGGTGAAACAGCAGGACGCATTTACTTGGCAGAAATAATATAGGCATAGAGATTTCATTCCGCGCTTAACCAGCCACTGTGCAGGATAAGGGGCAAAGAACGCCACCCAGGGCGTCAGGCAACGCTTTCTTATGTTGTTTGAAACTTGACGGGCAGCTTGGAAAGCAGCAGCACGGGGGCCATCGCGCGCGATACAGTGCGAGTTAGCTTGGAACACACGCCTACTGGGTTCCACAAAGCCACACACAAAACATAGGGCTT